TCTGTAAACCCTACCTGCTCAGCTTCAACCCTCTCTTCCTGTAATCCCTAAACCCTAACCCCTATAAAACCCTAAACCCTATAAAACCCTAAACCCTATAAAACCCTAAACCCTAAACCCTATCCCATTTTCGCCTGCATGAGCGAAGTGTCCCGGAGCCGATGCTTTGCAAAGGCACGAAGGTGAACCCGCAGAGCCGAAGAGTGCACGGGAAGCCAGGACCTAAACCGAAAGGGGCCCAAGGGACTAAACCACAAGGGGGCTTAGGGTGAAGGGACGGCCTAGAGGCCAATGCACGCGAAGGCCTGTCGAGGCTCATTCCGCCGGGAGAGGCGGGCGGGGAGAAGGAAGGAGCTGAAGAGGTCGCTTTCACTCGGCTAGCATGGGATAAAGAGCATCCCATTTTCGCCTGCATGAGCGAAGTGTCCCGGAGCCGATGCTTTGCAAAGGCACGAAGGTGAACCCGCAGAGCCGAAGAGTGCACGGGAAGCCAGGACCTAAACCGAAAGGGGCCCAAGGGACTAAACCACAAGGGGGCTTAGGGTGAAGGGACGGCCTAGAGGCCAATGCACGCGAAGGCCTGTCGAGGCTCATTCCAACTCTGGTTTACTTGGCATCGCCACAAGAAGCGATAAGCTGAAGAATCAGCGGGCGCGCATAGGAAGCGAGGAGGCGGATACGATCTCGGGACCAAGGGGGGAGCCTGTGAAGCATGAGCTGGGCTGCCACCTCCTGGAGGTAAAACTCCACCGTCTTAGTCTTGGACCACCGGCCCCTCCACGAGACCAAGGAGAGGTCCTCGGTCTCGAGGTAGAGGAAAGTAGCCCCCGATCCTCTGAGGACACCGGGAGTGGCGCCACGATTCGCCAACTGATGCGGGATGCCCAGCCGGGCCAAGATGCTATTCCACTGTCGGCGGTAGACGTACATCGACCCGCGAAAAAGCCGGGCGCTAAGAGGCAAGTCGAAGTACAAGGCCGAAAGCCACTGAAGGACAAGGGGGTCTTCAAGCCGAGCGTGTTGCCGCCGGGCGAACCGCTGAGTTTTCGGGTTGCGAAGGTGCACGTACGCAACTGGGTCCGGTGACAAAGCGTCAGCAGGGAAGACAAGGTCCTGCCGAATCAAGGGAATCATCTCGGCCGGGTGAAGCATACAAAGAAAACCAACTGCAGTGAGGGCGGCCCAGTCGTACCAGCCCCAGCAGATAGCTAAAGCGATGCAGGCCTGAAGGATAGGCTGAGAGATGACAGGACGGCATTCGCCTGGCTCGGCCAGCTGCCATTTACGGTCTATCTGCCAAGCAGGAGCAAGGTGTGTGCGAAACTCCGGGAACCGGTCTTGGATCGAGGTGATCGCATAGACCAGAAGGTAGCGCGGAAACCCTGCAGAGTACAAGTGAAGACCGAAAGCGCGCAGGGCGAGGGCGGCAGATTGAGGAGAAGACATCGCCGCCTCAAGGCTGAGACCAAAGTCTTTTTCAAGCCAGACAGTGAAAGCACCAAGGGCCTTCGTCATCTTGTGACGAGTGGAAGGAGCAAAACCGGACTGCAAGTCGAGACAGCCACGAGGCCCCCCAGTGTAGAAGGGCCCTGGGTTGCGCTCAACGTCGCCGCACAGCAAGAGGAAAAGCCGAACCCACCTGCCCAACAGACGAGGCACAGACGCTGAAGCGCAGACGAGGTCAAAGGTCCTAGGGTTGCCGGAGGCCAAGTGAGAAAGCCAAGAGGGCCAAGCTTTAGTGGCGGCCTGAGGGGGGCGGCCACGCGAGGGGCCATCGGCCCGGTTCTTTGCCGAGTAGACGTGAAGACCGCACGGGTAAAGGCCAGAGCCAAGGACGTACGGCAAAGTCGACCGTAAAACGCGGCAGAGAGCGGGACTGGCCGAGCGGCCTTTGGCGGCAGCACCCAAAAGCACGCGACTGTCTATCAAGCCCAAAAGCCGGGAGCGCGGAAAGCGCTTGGAGCACCATTTGATCCAAGTCTTGTAGGCGCGGCTTTCGAGGATGTTTATGTGGCCAGCCTGCCGAAACTTGTATCTCAGGATTTCGCGGAAGTCCAAGCA